GTAACGAAAATGTGGGCAGGAACAATATTTTCATGGGGCACATTAGGACCCATAATCCTCATAGAACAATCCCTGACGTCTGTAAGCTACTTGAACAAAGTTGCAGACCAGGTTCACCCATTCATGGCAACAGTTTTTCCTGCGGGGGAAGGTGTTTACCAACAGGATAATGCACCATGTCATAAGGGTCGAATCGTCATAGATTGATTCGAGGAACATTCCAGTGATTTTCAAGTCATGTTTTGGTCCCCAAATTCACCTGACCTTAATCCAATAGAGCATTTGTGGTTCTACTTGGAAAACCAAATTCGTGCTGCCACGCTACACCCTCGCAATGTGAGGGAATTGCAGGACCAGTTGGTGAGTGCTTGGTACCAGCTACCTCAGACTCCCTATCAGCACCTTGTGGAATCAATGCCACGGCGGGTTCTAGCAGTTTTGAGGTCTAAAGTTGGTCCTACGTGTTATTAGCAGGGTGGTCATAATGTAATGGCTCTTCGGTGTATGTGACGAATGTATTAAATAATAAGTAGATATAGTAAAGTGAAAGAAACAATTGTTAATTTAAAACTACTTTAGGTATAAAGATGGGCAAGCCGTAGGTAAGAGTGACAGGATTAAAATCGTAAGTGACGGAGCCAAACAAAGCTTACAAATTTCAAATGCAACACCATTAGATTCTGGAAGTTACTCTTGTGTTATAACCAACAATCTTGGAAATCAAGCAGAATTCAGCAATGTTGTTGTTAAAGGTATCTATTTAAGAATTTTTAATTATTCAAATAAAAACTTTTTTTCCATGTTTTATTTGTCCAATTAATTGCTAATTTAGAAAAAAACTTTTTCCTCTTGTTTTTTTAGAAAGTTGTTCAATTTGAAATTTTAAGTGTTTTATCAATAACGTTTCCGTGATCTCAAATAGAGCCATGGGTCATTTGCCATTTTTAAAAATTATGTCTTTAATCAATATCCTAAGTATTAAATTTCTATTTTGTAATCTATTTGTTAACTATATTAGAAGATGTTTTTTTCTGAAATTGTTTTTTTTTATCATGTTTAAATATTTCATTAAAATTGTTGAAAGTACACGGAGAAAAATATTCACGTAAAATTATCGAAATGTATAATAATGACATTTCCGAAGAAAAAAAGTATCATTCTGATTGATAAAACCGAAATACACTCTATTATAACCTTTTTTTGGTAATATTTTCGTTCAGATCGTGATGATTTATTGAAAATTCTGGTTTTTAAAACTCTAGTTTCTATAACCTTAACATTCAGTAAAGAAGTTCATAACTGGAAAATAAATGTAACCGAATAAATGGCTTTTATGTAATGCACTATGGTATGGTAAAATTACCAAGTTTTACCACATTTACCAAATTTTATAATATATCATAAAACCAAATTTTATTAACAATTTTATCAAAGTCATGAGCAAAACGTTTCGTTAAAAATTACCGAGCTTTTTGGGTGTTCCCATAATTTATGTAACACGGTAATTTTACCATATTCTGGAAGTTTTGACCATTTTTTTCTTTCTCAGTGTAAATTAAACGAGAGATGTATCAATTTGCAAGTAAAACTAGACTCTTAGCCGGAATAAATAAGGCATGAAGGATATGGAAAAACTATATTTCATGCTATAAAATATGTACATGTAGAATTCATTCCCTTGTCATCAAAATGCATAACTTTTTTTTATTTCATTCGTGTACAAATCTAATGTTAAATGTGCATTAACTTATGTGTAAATGATTTCATGATTTCAGCTTCTCCAACTTTTATAAAAGGAATGTCAAATGTAGAAGGTCTTGAAGGGGATACTCTTCAATTTAAGATAGAAATAAATGGAAATCCAAAACCAACTTTAAAATGGTAAACACATGCATGTTTCAAATATTAAAAAATACAAAATAAAATTTCATTTCAAACTCGTTTCTTAAATTTTTACTTAGAAAAAAAAAACATTGACGTACACTACACTGTAAATACTGTGGTGCAATACCTCTCCCAAATTCGGTGATAAAAAACTGCAAAAATAACGTAAAATGAATGCTTTATTTGAAGTTAATACCGAATAGAGAATTTGTATACACTTTAAAGCGTGAAGTTAAATCTAAAAACACCTATAATTAAGGAAGCATACACCAAGCTGCGATGCATTTATTCCATTTATGAATTATTTTCGCCAATTTCGTCTTATGTTTGTAAACTATCAGATAACAGTTGTAAATTTTTCACGGTCGAATTTCAAAAAGGAGAAAGTTTATTGTCTCGCAAACTACCTGAACATTCCGAAGAAGCACAAGTTAGTTACGGTTTTCGACCGTATCTTTATTGCATAATATTTAAGTTATTCGTCTACCTGTGATATTAAAATTAATATTCTTACTAGCATGTTGTATGTTGCGACCGAATTACGAATTCTGTTTCTTTTAGCTCGATATGATTCAAAAAACTAATTGTCACACTAATCTATATTTTCACACATTATGTTTGAAACTTAATTCTTAATTATTTTTCATTTTATGTAAAAAAAATTGCTCTGAGTATTCATTTTATTAATAAGTGATAATTGATAAGATAAATCTAATCCTTAAATCATTCAGGACTGGCAAAAGGGGAAAGACGCGTCACTCCCCCTTTNCCCCCCCCCCCCGACTTTCACTGTCTGAGACATACGTTCTTATACGAAATACAATACTCGAGTACCATATTCATGACATCCGCGTGATCATAGGGCTGTGGGAGTCAGAAAGTCTCGCCTCATATATACAAGTATAATACCGTTGGCAGTGAAAATATAATCTCGTGATCATGTAAGTGAGTCACGGTTTTGAACGGGTTTTTGATTGCGAAAACATATACAGTCAAACCTCGATATTTCGAACTTGATGGGAGAGGAGGAAAAATTTGAGATACCGAAAATTCGAATTATCGAAAATAGCATGTTATCGATGGTAGAATAAAGAAAAATGCTCTTTACATACCTTATTTACTATTCCATATTTATTCTAAAAACACTTTTTACACTTAAGCAGATTCAATTGTTGTTTGCTTTAGAGATGTGTAAGAAAGTTTGTCTATTACACTTTCTAAGTGGACTATAGCTTAAAATCTCTCCTCTGACATATTCAGCTGCCTCTCAATAAATCTCCTTACAGTGTCTACTGCAGAAAGTGTTTGTTTGAGAATTGATTATGTTTATGAGAATTGGTTTTCTATTCTTAAATAAAAATGTCTTTGAATATTTTTTTTATTTTCAGAAAACAAATCTACACTATTTATGGAGAAAAAAAATTCAAGTTATCGAGGGATTAGAAAAAAAAAATCGAGAAATCAAGGTTTTTTTAACATAGAGTGTATAGGAAATTTGAAGGGAATTTTTTTTTTCTACGAGATATCGAAAAATTCGTGAAATCGAGGTTCGAGTTATCGAGGTTCGACTGTATAAGAATATTTTTATTACAGTGGAATGTAAATAATACATACTTTTCTATTTTTTTCGATGTAAATTATGTCAATATTTTTAATTTCGAATGAAATGCAGGTTGAAAGATGGCAAAGAATTGGCGATTGATGGAAAACGTATAAAAGTGACGGACGAAGGAAACAATGTGTACACACTCACGATTGACAATGCAACACTCGCAGTTGTTGGTGCCTATACTTGTGAACTGAGAAACGAACATGGCTTAAAAGCTAGCACTGGAAATTTGAACATTAAAAGTAAGGTGAACATTTCATAATTTTTATTGATAAGATTTTTGAAGATTTTTTTATTTTTGAGATTTTTTTTGTTGGAAATGCACCGATGGATAAAAAGAAATTAAAAGTAATCTTTAAATAATTTTCAACTGGAAAGTTATTTTTGTCGCCATAATTCAATTTAGGATTGACTACTGTCATTTTTGAGGCCTTGGATTATGTAGATATCCTCTAGAGTTTAGTGAATGATACGCTTATATTTCAAGTCATTTATAAACATTAGCTATCATCAGGAGTGACTTTTCTTTTCAATGGACAATCACTGCCCACCTTTTTTACTTAATCAATGTTTATTTTCCTGACCAGGTAAAGCAGGAAGTGTAAACATGTTCTTAGATTTTATAGATTTAGTTTAGATTTTAATTAATTTACATGTTTGGCTTGGCTTTCAATGCTTTTTTTTTTTTTTTTTTTTTTTTTTTTTTTTTTTTTTTTTTTTTTTTTTTGCTTCTAGTTATGGCAGAATATCAAAGTAAGTTTGTTTAAGTGGGACACACTGTAGTTTTAAAGAGAAGAAAACGTAATGTTGTAAAACTAAACGATTGCTCGCAAACCCCTTTTTCAGAACACCTAATAAAAACAGGCTTGACAAATTTATATACTTACCATCCAATTTACTTGAAAATTTATTACATGAAGTATATTAGTAAAGCACTATTTTTGTATAAATGCATGTTTATTATTAACGTAACGTTTCATGCAATATGCATTGAAATTAAATTCAGAATGATTTTTAAACTTAAGCGGGAAATAGTCATAAAAAAGGGTAAAAATTAATGTCTGTTGTATAATTAATCAAAATTTATTAAGGTAATCAAAAGTTTCATTGCTGTTCCGATGACAGGAACGAGTAAAAACCCCATTACCATAGCACCTACATTAGGTACCCATATTAGTATAGAACTCACCTCTGTTATCGCAGCAACTATTATCTCAATATCAGTTGCCGGAACCGTGGTGGCTAAGAGGATTAAGCCCCAGGCTCCTAATTTACAGACACTGGCTCGAATCTGATATATGGCGAAAAGTTTGCTTCCATCTGCCACTGACCACAGCGCTGACTGAAATTTTTTTTTTTAATGATGAATGGATCAAGCGTGAGAATCTAATTTTATTGGGCTAATCGAAGGAGGATTACAAGGTTTTCCTCTCCATGCAACGCAAGGACCGATTGGTTCCATCGATAAATTTCTAATTTTGCCCTAAAATTTGATCCAGGAATTCCTTTCTGGATTGAGTTCATAATTGCAAACTACGAAGTGGGCCTTGTAATTTTGAACTGAAGAATGGGCGTGCTGTTTAGCTCTAATTATAAAAAATTACCCGTAGCACCTTTAATTCAGCAATACTCGATTTTATCCGATCCCCAAAAATGGAATACTACAAAAAATTCAACTTGCAATAGAAATGACAATAATAGTAATGTATATTTGCTCTTTTTTTGATACAAAGATTGCGAATAGGAGAAACTATGTACTAGAGTGCGCAAAATAAAAAAATTCCTGAGGCATCGAATTTTAAAAGTACGATTTTTTGAAAATTCGATTTCTCAGAAACTATGCGATCAATTTCACTCGAATATTGTTTTTTTTTTTGTAATTTAGAATTGCAATCCTTAATATGATATAAAAATTTGCACTATTCGAAATCTTTTCGACTATTAATAATTAAAATAATAAAAAATAGTAAATATATACTACAAGTTATGTTTTGCATTAACTTTGAATTAATAAATTTTATAGTCGCGTGCTAATTTTTTTAAATTCACTTAAAAATTTCTCGAGATATGGTGAAATACGCAAAAAATGAAATGAACATTAAAGGATCCAAACTTTGGACCGCTTTCCTGACCACACTATTGGATTCGTATTTACTGGGGTGTGACTGTATCTTTTATTTTAGGCGAAAGTCGCGATCAGTTTGGTCAGAAATCCGAAACTATCAAAAAAGATATTTTTATTCAGAGAAAGTTCGTTTCTAAACCTGATTTTTTAACTTAAAATATCGTCAGCTCTAAAGTGTTAGTATATTTAGAGTCAACCCTTCGAACCATTAAGATTGAGTTAAGAACGTGAAGATCCGATCATTAAATCAAAAGTCATTCAGGGTGGTTCATTTTCTATTTTGCCGACAGTACGTTTAAGAAGAAAAAAAAGTATTTTCGAAAGTTTTATGGCGGTTCTTTTACTTAATTTCCAAAAATTATCAATTGAATATGTTAATTAAATAAATTGCAATGAAATATATGATAAAATTTTTGATTGGCTATTTACTATCATTTACTATTTAATATCATTTTCGCATTATTAATCCTGTAAAATGTTTCTGATTGCAGCGAAACCTGAATTTATCAAGAAACTTTCAGATCTGGAAGTGAATGATGGTGAAACTGGATTGGTTATGAATGTATCATTGAAAGGATATCCAACGCCTTCAGTTAAATGGTATGTTCTCAATTATCTCACAAGTTTTATTATTATTAAAGTAAGATATGAATTATCTATTTACCATGTTTCTTGTAGCAATAGAAGATTAATATTTTATTTTAATTTTGTCTTCTTAAAAATAGATCTCTTTAATCAATGTCTTAAAATTTTGATGTCATTTTATTTAGATCAGGATTGGCCTTTTGCCGGCAGAAACTAAATTAATTGTACTTTTTTTAACATTTAAGTGATTTTTCTATGAATTATCCATTGCATGTTAATCTCAGTACTTACTCTTATGTCATTTTCTTAATTTCTGCCAGTTTCTGCCACAAGTGTGGCATTAAAGGGTTTCTGCCATGCCAGTTTTAACCGGTTTCTACCAATGGCAACCGGTTTCTACCAATGGCAATCTACCGGTTTCTACCAATGGCTACCACCTCGGCAGAAACTTGCCAACCTTGATTTAGATAAGGCTCTAAATTCAGAGCCTTATAATTATTATAATTATAATTTTATTTAACAGCGTTTTGTTAAAAATTTTGGTACAAATGTTAAGATTTATATCTGGCATTCTCTTACTCTTTTATTTCTTTTATTATATTCATAAATTTTTTCGTAACTTTTGGCATCAAGTAAAGAACGAGTTTATATAATGAATATCTCAAGGGAGAGAAATATAATTTTCGAACAAATTAGAATTTTGAAGAAAAAAAAATCGTGTTTAACAGATAAATGAAACTAGCCGCGATAAATGAAATGCCGCATAATGTTTTTTACTGCAAATTTAATAGTTGATAATTCGCGAACTAATAATCAAATGATAAATTTTTTTTAAATTCCATTTATTAAATTTTTTACGTAACTTTGCAACTTCAAGTTTTTAAGTCTTGTTGTTTTAGCGCTTAAAAAAATTGCAATGTAAAGCAAAAATAAAGTTGAAAATATCTACAAAATAAAGTATTTAAATCGGCAATAACTTTTAAACAAATCAGAATTTTAAAAAGAAAAGAAAAACATGGGTTTATGAACAGAAATGACCCTTTGGGGACTTCAAATTTCAGCTTTGTCGTTGCATTTTTGCAGGTTTGTGAGCAGCTTCATGCCTTTTTTAACTACAATTTTAACAGTTAATTATTCTCGAACTTAGTGTCAGTGTGTGTAATTTTTTTATATAATGGTATTGTGTGTGATATGTATGATAATCGTATTGCTTTTTCTTACACATGTTCATAATTTTAAATTCACATGTTTAACATTTTAGCGCATCAAAACAGATTGCATTATAAAGTCGAACAACCGGAACAACGGTAGCGATTGAAATGATTTTTTCAATATAGTGAGAAAACAGAATTTTAAAATACAAAATAAAACAGGAGAAATGCAGTACTCGAATAGACTGATTAGATCTCAAATGAAAATATCCGTTTTGAACTTGTGGATATTTACAGCTATCAAACAGAAAATACATTATATTTATCAATCTATACAGAATCTGTTGATGCTGCTGCTTATCTATAGCATCAACACATGAACTGATATTATATACATATAATTAGCAACCTGAATCTATTTCATAGTTCTTATTAACATTTTACAAATTGCAGATTTGTAAAATTTAAATTTGTATTTCAAGCAGAATTTTCATGCTTATCTTACAACATGAATCTTCCACCATAATCAACATATCTCATAGCTTTAGTGGAACAAGTTAAATATATCTTATAGCGTAAGCAGAACAAGTTAAATACATCTTACATTATAAATGCCAAACTTGTGTTTTCTACAGGTCAAACATTATAAAAAGTTTGGCTAAACATTTGCAATTTTTATAATTATTATAAATACTTTTTAATATATTTTTATTTAATTTATTTGTTATTGTTTTGACAGGTATAATATCTAACCGATAATTTCTTGTTTTAAAAGGTCACTCCTTAGCAGACTTTTTCAACTTATTGTAGATTATGTCTTATTTTACATTTAGTTCAATTTGCAAAAAAAAAAGTTATTTATAAGAGAAATTTGCTTTTTACTTATGAAATAGCTATTTCAATTATGAGTTACTTACACAAATAATAGTTAGATCAAATCTTTAAGACCGTGTTTTCATTTTTTCTATTAAGAACACATTTTAAGTTGTAAAATATCTACATGGTTATACTCGTATAGAGCAAAATTTTTGTTGCAAATAAGTTGTAATAATTTTAATATTAACCCTTTTTACAAACATTTGTGGAAAAAAGAAGAATGAATAAGAATTTTTATTCTTAAATTTTTATTCTTTTTATTTTTATTATTTAAAATTTTTTATTCATTTGGAGTATAAATTTTACAAAATTCTATACTGTAATCCTTTGTAAATATAGCATATCCCAAAATTCTTACAAGGTGTAATTTTTATAGAAAAAAGTTAATAAGAAAAGTTCATAAGTTTTTAATAAGAAATTGCATTAATCTGTAAAATATATATTATAGGGTTATATAAAAGACAGCATATCTGGTAAAATAAATTTTTTCGCAATTTTCAATTACCATTTTGCATAAACTTCGCTGAATTTCTCAGTAAGACTTAAAGTGTTAAACTTTAAAGCGTGACTTGTTGGCATCGGGCAATGTTAAATGACATGATCTGATAGGCCAAACACGAAATTAGCACAGCGAAAAAACGCCACAACAATACTTAAATTATTGCTAAATAGTCTACAGGCTCCCGTTTGAGTAACGATCTGTTTTAAATAATTTTGAACTATCAGCTTTTTTTCGTTAGCATTATAATTTAGCACAAATAGCGCAAAATTTAATTCTTTCGTAAATCCATATTTTTAAGTTAATTTGAATGTTTTAGGCTTTTGGAGGATTCTGATCTGAAAGAAAATAAGAACTGCATCATATCTTCTGAGAAAGATGGCATGAGTCACAGCTTGAAACTGAAGAAAGTCAACAAATCCAGTGCTGGCAAATATACATGTGAAGCTTCAAACGAGATGGGAAAATCATCTACAAGTGGTTCACTCACTGTAAAAGGTGAGATATTTCATGAAATACTTTTCATTTGTCATCTATTTTCTATACTTTTCACTTCGAATAACAGTAATACCTACCTAGTGTAATACCTCCGAATTGGGTGAAAAGTCCAAACATTGTGTGAATGAATACTTTGTTTAAAGTTAATACCGAATACATACTTTTGTTATTAAATCTTAACATCAATAAATGAGAAAGCTTACGCCAAGCTCAGGTGCATTTAATGACCTATTTTCGCCAATTTTGGTGTAACTGTTAGACGACAATGGTAGATTGTTCGGAATTGAGCGCGAGAATGTGAACGTTTGTTGTCCTATCGAACATTCCCCGGAAACAGAAGTTTACTGCAAACAAAAATCATGTATGTGTTTATTTGTGCAATAAAGATAATTCTGTTGCTGCCAAAAGAGGATTTATCTCAAAAGACGTTTTATGTAACTTATAATAGACTATAATTTTTAAACTTATAATAGACAAACAATTTTTTAAAAGCAAAAAGCGTGCTTCCCCTCACGCCTAATTTACACTGAAATGCGGCACCAATTATAACTTTAACACAAATTTACAGTGCAATGCTGCACCAAATATAACTTTAACGCAAATTTATAGTGCAATGCAGCACCAAATATAACTTTAATGCAAATTTACAGTGCAATGCTGCACAAAATATAACTTAAATGTGAATTTAGAGCGCAGTGCAGCACTAAATATAACTCTAACGCAGGATTGAGTAATTGTTAATTTTTTTTTATGGAAAATAAAAAATAATCCTCAGTTGAAGCCCCTTGAACTTAAAGCACAACTATAATTTTAAACAAAATATGACCATCTTGCAGTAAAGAATTATCTGAGACTTTTTGCCAAAAACTTCCTAATTGGCACTATTTTTTACCAAAATAAAAATATTTAAAATTAGCGAATACTTCTCAAATGTTGGCAAATTTTTAAGAGTTTTGTCTATGTAGCATTGGATTAGCTTTCCAAATATTACAAAATTAGACCAAAAACGTTTTTCATTTTCTAAAAGTTGGGGGTTTTTTCTTCATAATGACGTTTAGCGCGAAAAGCCAAATGCAGGCAATACTTAATCTAACAGTCGTGAATAACTGTCATAAAATCGCAACAGTTATGAAAATAATCATATTATCCGAAAATACTAAGATATAAGATACTTTTATTGAATCAAAATAATTGATTTGATCAAAATAATTGATGGATCAAAATAATTGATGGATCAAAATAATTGATGAATCAAAATAATTGATTCGAAATGTGACTTTCAAAAATCAATTGCTTTTTAGTTACAACGAGAAAACCTGAAATGGAACAAGAACTGAAACCAACTCAGCTGGTTGAAGGAAAACCTGGAAAATTAGTAGCAAAAGTGACAGGAGAACCAAAACCAAAAATTACCTGGTAAATTATTTACTTATTTTTATTTAATTTTTTTTTTATATCTGAAACTCGGGATTTTGAAAAGCCACTTCAATTTAATCTAGTCTATTAGTCGAGAAAAAGCCATATAAATTTTTAATTTTCTCTACCTGTCAAGAGCAAAAAACGTCTATACTGTTAAAATAAAGCTGTTAAATTTGTTTTATGATCCAAAATATCTACTATTCTTTTATTTTAAAACAATTGCAATGTAATATCTATTAAAATAATAAAACTTTTCTTTGACTAACTTATTACAATTTTAGATGTAATTAGTTGACTAACTTATTGATTCTAAATTCGTATAAGAATATCAGTGGTTAACAAAAAGAGTTCTGCGGAACTCTAAATATCCGTGGAATATGTTCATACTGGTTTTGAGAGTTCAGACTTCTTTTAACAGATAATAATTTTTGAAACCTATAATTATAATTATTTCCATTCGTCAATAATCCATAATTTATTTAATAATTTAATTATTTCTCGTGATTATTCAAGTAAAATGCCAATAAAAAAATAGCTAACTTTGAAAAGAAAAACATAATTTTTTCTATAACAACATATTAAAATTAATGTAAAGTATATACATCTATAAAAAATTTCATCAATGTTTTTTCACTGAAATTTTCAATTCTCAATAAAATAGCCGAATTCGAGAATAAAGTATAACTTAGTAAAGACGTGAACTATTCCTGGAAGGCTTTTTGAAGCTTATAAAGTGGTATGACATATGTTTCACCATACTTCGTAACTATGTGGAAAAATAAAGTTACTTCTATTCTTTAATATCTCATAATATGTTTTGTTTTCTTTTCACACCTCTGTCCAAAGTCGCCAGGGGAAATTTATTTTCGAACTCACCCTTTTACTTGACAAATCAGTCTGCTTTTTTTTATTTTATTAAAACTGTTTTATGTTATATTGCTTAGGTTGAAAGATGGTAAGCCTATTGAATTGAATGGGCGCTTTTCCATGGAAGAATCGGACGATGGAACAGTTGCTCTACTTATCAGTAATGTCTCACCTGATGATGCGGGTGTGTACTCCATCGAAGCAGTCAGTGATGCCGGTGAAGTCAGATCAGAAGCTCCAGTTACAAGTCAGTCTTTTTCTTAAATCTTCTAAATTATTCGCATTAAATTATTTAATTGAGAAACTTCTCTCAAAATTAAGTCGGTGAACTTATTACTTCAGCTTCATTACTTAAAACTTTTACTTAAATCTTTTAATCTCAAATGTGTAGAAAGGTATTGTAAAAAAGCCATTATTCCGTCGGGAATGATAATTATCCTGTAATTCTCTAAAGGCACATAGAGTGCTAAGAAATACGAGGTGATTCAAAATTTGACCAACAAAATTCATGAAGAGGTGACAACTCCGACGCAGACACACCAAAATTATGAAAATTTAGCATTGAACATGGGATTGCACATCAGGTTACCACCATCTAAAAACACAGATATACTCTAAATCTAGACGAGACGGAAGGTGGAGGTTTGCTTTACCTAAATTAAGTGCTTGTATTCGATGATGTTTCGTGCATTGATGGTGTTCCTGCTCATTATGCCCCTCAGGTACATAATCACCCTGCTGCAACGTACTCATTGAGGAGGATTGGGACGTGAGGGATCCGTATCATGGCCACCACACTCACCAGATCTCAGTTCGTGAGAGTTTTTTCCTAAAGGATCGCCTTAATCACTATTTGATGCGATGCTTGGGGACACACCGGAGTCTCTCATAGTACGTATTTTCGCCACTTCGGCAAACATCTAAAGCACATTTGACATCTTTGATCGTGCCCGGGTGTCGCTTTTATTTCGTTGTAGATTGGATAATAATGGTAGCAGCAATTATTTATTAGTATTGGTAGCAATTCTGTAGTATTTTTTGTTGTTCTTTTCCAGCGTGATGTCGAAACCTGATATTTACTCTTTCAACGTGGTTTTCAATTTTACATTCTGTAATAAGTTTTCATGCTCTTGATTTCATTTATCCACTCTCCAAAGGATACTTTAGAACATCCTGTATACTAACCTTATCTTCCAAAATGAAATTTTTTTTTGTAGAGATTGCAGTGAGTTGTGCTAATGTGTTAATCTCATTTCACAGAGACTTCAATTTAGCTCTGTTTACGGAACTTTAAAATTTTTCAATATATAAAATTTTTTTCTAATTAAATAAACTTCAAATTACTTTCTTTATTGATCCTTAAAAGTATCACATTTTAATGAACAAAATGCAGGAAACAATTTGCTAATAAATTATTTTAAGCTCAAGTTTTTTTAGTTAGTCAATTAAACAAAATTTTACAACTGTTTTCAACAGTTTAAAGAAGGTCACATTCAAACTAAATGAAATTTTGTAAATGTATTTTTTTCTTTAATTGCATGCTTTGGCTACCACCGTCTTCTCGGCTACTACGGTTTCTCTCATTTTTTCCGCATTAGTTTCATGCTTTCGAAATCTGAACTTTTATCATCTTGACGAGAAGCATATAGCTTTGAGCTTTCATATCATGTTAACTTATTATCTGTTTCAACGATGAAGCAAAAAAAAAATTTTTTTTTTCAAATAAAGATTAAAATTAATTTGATTGGTCACTTTTATTTTAATTCTTTACAGCAATCCCAGCTGGAAAGAAGCCTGAATTCACTAAAGAACTGGAGAAACTTGATGTTATTGAAGGACAACTGTTACAGCTAACAGCTAAAGTAACAGGAAAACCAACATCCATCAAATGGTAAGAAGAAATAACCGCTAAAATAATATAATGTTGTTGAGTTCCCTTTTTTGCAACAATAACACTTCACCATTTTGTATGCGTTACAGGCAGAAGGATGGGGAAGATTTATCAGATGATGGCAGAATTAAGATCACGGAAGAACCAGATGGAACAATTGCTCTGACTATTGATAAGGCCAGTCAGAAAGACGCTGGAAAATATACAGTCATTGCTTCTAATTCTGAAGGAAAAGCTAGGAGCGCTGCTCTCACACAAGTACTTGGTATGCTAATTCGTTATTAATGAGTAAATTAATTATTAATAATGAAATACTTAAATTCTTACAACTTGAATTAAAAGGAATTTTGCAAACTTCATAAAATATTCATGGAAGGGGAAATGCCACATAAATATTAGCTAAGCTCTGTACTTTTTACAAAATTCCCGTAAGACCATTAGAAACTTACTAACTGCATACTGTAGCAACAATTATTATACCAAAACATTATTAGTTAAGTTAAATAAATAATCCCAATATACTGAAGCGAAAATATATTCTTGATAAAAAAAAACTTTACGAAGATGGTAATAAAAGTCGACATGTTTCAAGCACTCAAAAATAGGTGCCTATTTCCAAGACTATTTCCAAAATGCATTTCCACGAGCTATGAAAATGTTTGGAGTAACTTAAGTCGCATGTTTTTCTAGTTTTGTTTTTCATCTCTATTTTATACTTTTCGTTGGCAACTTTACGTTTCATGCTTCAAATCACTTTTGCTTTTCCTCATTTACGTCCAGCAAGTTTTCAGATTGGTGCCTATTTTTGATTGCTCGAAACATGTTGATTTTTATTTCCATCTAAATATTTTTTTTGAAGCTAATGAATTTTTAATCAATTATATAAGATAAATTAATCTTAACATTTGGAAATGTTTCTAAAAATCTCCTTTCAAATTTTGTTTCGTCTGCAATCAAACAGGGTTTGGTTTTTTTAATAGCATCTTCCTCACAAGTGATTCGGCAGTTTTCAATGGCGTTTTTACTTCTACCTCGCTAAAGAATTATTTTGCTTGACCTCTAATACATTTACTTTTTTCACAATGATTCTGAAAAAGTATAATAATGCTGTTTTTCGAAGCTCTGTCGCCAAGAAAAGGAAAAAGCCATAGTTTATTTGCCTTACGTTTAAAGCAATCCGATAATCATGCAGTGCACCAATTATCCGGAATTTAAAACTGACAAATAACGTGAATATTATAAAAGTTATTAAACCTTTTTTAAAAATCACCAATTTGATGAAATTTTTTCCACCACCTTTTTTTCAGTTTTTGCAAATTTTTATTAGTCCAAGTAATACTACATTGGAGTAAGTTCTAAATACGAAAAAAATTAAATCACAAACGATTTTTCTTTTCACAAACCTGTGGCTTTTCTCCATATTGTAGTTTTGCGCCATTTGTAAAATAAGTGTAAACAGCGCTGGCTTTAGACTAAGCTTGACTTAGCAGCCATGAGAAACAGTTGCAAACTCACAGCAGTTATAAAAATAGCATATTATTCGCAAAAAAAGCATAATTTCATATTACCTCGGAGTTCGCAAAAGAGTCTTAAAGGTGCACACATTGTTTGCTTTGGATGAAATATAAATTGAAAAAATTGTTCTTTTTACTTTAACATTGGGGAACAATAAGCTTTTGTTACATTTAGCAAACTGTAACCTAATGCATCGTAGTAGGTTACAGTTTGCATTCATGCCATCATGATTATACCATTATAATTATCCATTCATTTCATTATTGATAATGAAATGAATGGATAATCATAATGGTATTTTGTAGAACCTAATATGTGAGAGATTTAATTTATTGAATAGTTTTTNTTGAAATTTTAGTTTTGTAATTAAATAATTTTCAAATTTGAAATAAAAAATGAAATAAATATTAACAAATTTTCTTTTTTAAACTTTCTATATTTTAAAAAAAATTTAACAACTTGATGTATTTTTTGTAATATTTTAAATATCTTGATGCCAACAATAAGGCTTTCACAAATCTAAATAATTAATAATAGCATATACTTCATCATTCGGCCGAATAACTTCAGTATTCGGCTAGGCCGAATATTCGGCAAAAGGGCCGAATAGGCCGAATACCGAATAGTGGCCGAATATTCGTTACATCCCTAATTTAAAGCAATCCGATAATCATGCAGTTTAGAATTAACCGGAATTTAAAACTGACAAATAACGTGAATATTATAAAAGTTATTAAACCTTTTTTAAAAATCACCAATTTGATGACATTTTTTCCACCTCGTTGAAAATTATCAAAATCACTGCCTTTTTTTCAGTTTTTGCAAATTTTTACTAGCCCAAGTAATGCTGCATTGGAGTAAGTTCTAAATACGAAAAAAATTAAACCACAAACGCTTTTTCTCTTCACAAACTTGTCGCTTTTCTCCATATTGACGTTTTGCGCCATTTTTAAAATAAGTGTAAACAGCGCTGGCTTTAGACTAAGCTTGACCTAACAGTCATGAGAAACAGTTGCAAACTCACAGCAGTTATAAAAATAGCATATTATTCGCAAAAAAGCATCATTTCATATTACCTCGGAGTTCGAAAAAGAATCTTAAAGGTGCACACATTGTGTGCTTTGGATGAAATATAAATTTAAACAATTGTTCTTTTTACTTTAACATTGGGGAACAATAAGCTTTTGTTACATTTAGCAAACTGTAACCTAATGCATCGTAGTAGTTTACAGTTTGCATTCATGCCATTATAATTATCCATTCATTTCATTATTGATAATGAAATGAATGGATAATCATAATGGTATTTTGTAGAACCTAATATGTAAGAGATTTAATTTATTGAATAATTTTTTTAATGAAATATAATTATTATTGCAGTGATGAAGAAACCAGAAATTTTATCATCACTTAATCCTTTGAAGATAAAAGATGGTGAAACTGGTCAACTCTCGGTTAAAGTTGTAGGAGAGCCCAAACCCACTCTTCGATGGTGATTAAAAAATTTTTATTAATCGCGTTTTCTCTGTTCTGTTTTCATACGATTTAATGTTTTCGTAATTAAGAGATGCAAATATTTCATTAGTATTGTAACTGCTTTTACCTAGCTACGTATGTTATTTTAAATAACGGCCTGTATTATACACAATATGAATGAAATTCTTTCGTAGTATACTAAATAACAATGAATAATTTTTTGCTAATTTTGGAAACATGTGTCTTCATTTTTAAACGATAAAAAAAAATTATTAATGAAAGAGAGAGAATGGTGTTCGCATTATTGCTATTACTTGTTACATTGGTAAGATTTTTTTTTCTTTCTGGATACGGTTATAAACGCCATATTATGGGTACAAAGCTGCATCAGTTGATGCTTGTGCTCTTGCCGTCTAATGAGCCAGGTTGGCTTTCAATTCCTGCCAAGTTCTTTAAGAAGCTACAAACAATTTTTTTTCTTCGGTAATCATATTTATTTATGAAATCGTTGAGGAAACAGTAAATATGAATAAGTTAATCATAAAAAGAACATAAGATACTTTAATAATATGCAATAAAATTAAAAATGTACACTGGTATAAAGTAAAAAAGAAAAAAAAAAGTCTGGAAAACAATCAACTACAAGAAATTCCAAAATTATCGTCTGCCTTTCTTTATTTGATTTTTTTTATTCTGCTTCGTTATGAATGCTTATATTAGCCTCATTTTTTTAACTCATACAACTCTTTATTTGTGATTATGGTGAAGTTGATATGGTGAAGTATGGTGAAGTTGTAGCTTATCTAGTCGAAAAATGTGCGGTTAAGAAAAACTTAGTACAACACCCATTTTCTTAATGGGTAACAGCAAAGGAAACAATTATTATATATTTAATAGAATAATAAAAATACTTCTTTAAGGGATCTATTTTCCTTTTGACGAACCGTGTTGATCGAGTTTAATGCCTTTTCGTATGAAGAAATTTCTCATTTCATTTGGAATATTGTTTTCATTTATTTATTTTGCGTTATGAAATTATTTGATTACTACATAAATCATCCGAGTATTTAACTAGGTAACCGAAGGAGTTACATTATTTGAATTATAACTATATGTGAGGTCATAGATCAATAGGAAATAAGTTTGATAACAGTTCAATGCGGAATAGATTTACAAAATCAAGTGGCTTATTTCTGATTTTTTTTAAAAAAAAGGAATTTTTTCATAAGAGATTCGTAAGTTTTTTTTTAAGTAAGTAAATGAATATTATTTTATTTTAGGTTGAAGGATGGAAAAGAATTGATTCCAACCAACAGAGTGGAATCAGTTGAAGAACCAGATGGTACAGTGGCTTTGGTCATCAAAAACGCACGACCAGAAGATGCTGGCGACTATTCGGTTGTGGTACAAAATTCCCTGGGTGAAGCTAAGAGTGAAGCTCCTGTTGAAGTTCAATGTTAGTATTTAATGGATTTTTTCAACTAAATATGTAAATAAAAAAAGTGCTTTCCAATACAATTACTTTCCTTGGAGGAATAATGTTCTTAAAAATGTTAATGCCGAGAAATACTTTAAAATATATTAAACACGAGTTCTATCAAAGATATATTAGAATAAAAAAAATGGCGGCCAAGAACATGACAAAAAACAATGGTTGGATACTTGAACTTCAAGAAGAAGATCACCGATACCCACACATGTGACTTATGACGTCAGCTCCAGCTGATCGTTTATAAGCAAAATGGCGTGATAAATTTGAGCTAAGTTTCTCCACATAAGTTAGAATGTTAATTAAAGGGAAGTTAATTAAGCACAGAGCCATATCACACATCGAATTTGTTGAAATATAATTCTTTCTTGTCAACGTCTTTTACTTAACTTACATTTATTATTTGTATACGTATTTTATGGTTACACCTCAGTTTTTACAATGCAGAGAATGAATTCTGCTATGCGACCTCTTAAATAATTTCATTCCATCTCTTCTTTATTTTCAGACCCACCAACATTCCAGAAACCATTGAAGCCAGTTAATGTAGTTGAAGGATACCCCGCCAAATTAGAGGCCAAACTTGCTGGCTCGCCACCGCCAGAAATCAAATGGTAAATTTTTACTCTACTTGCTTTTAAGTCGGAAAGGAAATGATTTCCTTAAGAATTATTTTCTTGAATATTTTATTGAAGTGTGTTATGTGAGGATCAATTACTGGATTAATTATGGTTATTTTTTTAATAAAAAAATTAGAAAAAAAATCATAATATTTAAGAGTTTATTTTTGAATAATGGTTGTTATTTTATAGCTTTCTATTGTATAAACTTGGCTTTTGTAATTACTTATTCTGTAAAAGAATACAAACTTTTAACAGCATATAAAAGTGTCTATCATTAGCTCTTAGAATTTTTTTAAACATATTTTTTATACTTTTCTTCGTATTTTGCAATAATACAGATCAAAATAAGTGAAAAATATTATATTTAGCTTGTTAATAGTTTATGATTATAAAATACAACATGAAAGATCCATGTTTTTTTCTACGTTAAGGGTAAAATCTTCCAAACACTGCTCACTTCCAAACAATAATTTTTCAAATTTGCGCTCATTTTCAGTTATTTAGGTCTAAGAGAAACAATTATTCATCATTGGAATTTTTTTAATCCACAAAATCAATTATTATATTTATGAATTTCTGAATATGAATGAAAAAAAAATTAAAACTATTTTTTTGGATTTTATATTTAGTACGAATATAAACGCGATTATCCAACAGATTTTTTTAGAAACTATTAGCCTTTTTTTTAGCTTAAAAATACCAAAATATATTTTTACTTGTAATTAGTGCTCCAGAAAAAAAAATATATAAAAGGGACACTGCTGTCCCATATACATCAAAAGGTTAATTTTAAGACAGATCTATACTGCTCAGAACTAATGGTGCTCACTTTAAAATTATTCAATAAAATCCAAATCATCCATCTTAATTTTTAAAATGATTATAAAATTCTAAACATTTATCTCGTTTTCTTTCCTTACGTATGCAGACATTTCAAAATCTAATTAGAATAATACTTGTTAGAATAATTTTAAGAAATAAAACAATTTTTATTTTCTGTTTAATGATGTATTCATTACATAAATTCTATATATTCATTAAAGAAATACTGTATTTTATTCATTCTTTAACATCAACTGACTTTTTGCAAAATCCTCTAAAACACATAAATTATTATATAAATTAAATTATCCTCTAAAACACATTGTCTTGCATCAAATGTTATTATGAACCCGTTCCAAATCATGATCACATATACGTGATCATGCGATTTTCTAATCATGGTTCACTGGATATGAGATGAATCTTTCAGACTTCGGCTCATGATCACTTGAACGTCATTTAGTAATTGATATTCTTTAGTACGGACCTAGGAGCATGCTGTCCTAAGGAAGCATTTTTTTTCCGTCCACGGGTCCTGAACGGGTTAAAAACTTACATTATTTAAGAATGTAAAGGAACTGATTTTGGTTAAATTGTAATAGATTTGTTAAAGACAGTACTATAACTGTATAATCTACACATATCATTTAAAAAGGTGTAGACCAATTGCAACCTAACTCTTAAATCAGAAACTTTTGTGACTAATTGAAGCAATTATGTGTAAACATATCTATCATTTATTTTTTTCACTGCTATCTCATTGACCTTGAAATGTCTTTTCTAATTGCGTTTACAATAGTCAAAATTTCTTTATCAGGTTCAAAGATGGCGAAGAAGTAAAACCTGATAACGTACATGTCAAGGAAATAATTAGTCCAGATGGAACTGTTGCTCTTCTCATTGATAACTGCAAACCAGAAGATGCTGGCAAATATTCTCTTGTGGCAAAGAATCCATTGGGAGAGAACAGCAGCAGCGGTGGCCTTGGCGTTTCAGGTGAATCCATTGATTCCGTTATTTCAGTTTTAAGTTTTAATTCAAAAGCCGACATTTAACTTGAGGAAAGGGTCTTACATAAACCAAAAGATTATAAAAATTGGTATGTAATCGTGATCCATATCATTATTTACAAATTATTATTTCGAATATCGTTATCAGTTACAGGACTGTATTAAATTTCAACAGTTATTTTTGTGTTCACCAAATAATTTAAATTTGACATTAAGTAACGGGGGTTGGGTGCATTTAGCAGTGTTATTTTATTTTATGACCGTCGTTGAACAGCCGACCCAATTTTGAATTTACGACTACCGATGATCAACTCCGTAGCCTTGTAATTTTGAATCCAATTTAGAAGACAAGGGACATCCTACTAGATCAAGTATTGGGAGACATTTGCCTCTGTGGATGACTTTCTGATGGAGCTAACCCACATTTGCGTTAAATTAAAAAAAATAAAAAGAAGAAGAAGAAGAACTTCCCATGGTTGGATTGGCAGCAAGGGGGACTCTTGCCCATGATGCGGACTACCACTGAGGATATTTTACGTCAGCACTGTGGTTGGTGCGAGCCGAGTGCGGAATTCATATCCACCAGACATCGCTACGATCGAACCCGGGTCGCCTCATTAGGAGGCTAGAGCTCTATTCCCTGAGCCACAACGGATCGCAGAGTTATTTAGTGATAAATCGCCAATAATAGTCTCTTCTCATGTTTCTAAGCGTCTGATAAGATTTCACGGATATTTGGAATTTGAAATTAATAGCTGCGAGATTATGTGGATTTCAGCGTGAAATGGCTCTTCAATCCGACAGCAAAATCTTTCTTAAAAATTTTAAACTGTCTTTAAATGTGTGTCTTAAGTTAGACTTTTTTAAAATTTTTATTGGGATGTAGTTCCTAACCTGATGTAAAAATGAAATTTCGGCATGTGGTGCCTGATCTTAATCTTCAACCAGCAGTTAAAAAAATAATTGCTTTGTAATCTAAGAAACTGTGGCATTTTCTCTTTATAATTCTAAAAAAATAAGAAATAATACTAACACTTTACGAAAAATAGTTCGACAGCTATTGAGTGCAATTTTAGTCATTTAGTCAATCAAGTCCGATCCTGGCACACACCTTTAGGATGAGATGAAAACAATACACACTATAGCTAAAAACAAATTTTTTTTAAGCATTAATTGTGTGCAATTTAACCCAAAGCAAAAGAGACTATTGCGGAATTAATTATCAAAACATGCTAAAACCACCCTTTAATAGAATCCTAATCGAATTTCTGAAAAATCAAATTTTTGTTAGGCATATGTTTTAGAAACTTTACGAACAGAAAGAACAAAGTTACAGATGCGGATAACATTTTTTAAAAGAATTGAAGGGAAAAAAAAACATTATGGAAGGGGGATATAAAAGAATCTGAAGTTAGAAAAAAGTTATGGAATGAGTATTTTTATTCAATGTCAGTAATTCTCACACCCTCAATCTTTCAAAGAACCTGAAAAGCGCTTGATACTTTAAAAATGAATTTATCAGAAAACAAAAGAAATATTGAAAGTTACAAAAACTTTTAAATAATATTGAACTTTTAAATTCAAATTTACAAGTGAAGCAAATATGTTAGCATTTTAAAACTCTTTTACAATTAAAATCTGTAACTTCCGTTTAATTTGGCAAATATAAGTTTGTTAAAAATAAGATAGGAACGTAGGAATCAGCTTGACTTTTACTAGGTATATTTATGTTTAACTTTGAAGCATTTTTACCCTAAGTGTACACTGTTAGAATTTTCCTTCTAGAATTATGAAAAAGTAATAGACAGCAGTCTATCCATCGAATTAAATTTTATGGTAATGAACATTTTTACCTATAAGGCTAATAAACCGTTTACAACTAGCGTCGTTAAAATACCATGAATACAAAACTATACGTTTTTTTAACCATTTATTACTAGTATGGTTTCTTAAAAAAGAGATTTAACTAGACTTAATTCAATACCTTTATGGTGCGCTAATATCTCTGCGTGAGTGAAAGTATCGAACAATATAGCCCAGGGTCACAAATTGGGAAGTGCAGGACGCTGGAAACTTCTTCCTGTGTTGAAAGAAATGGAGGAAATATCGTGGTGTCACTAGTACTTAAATTCCCGTTCTATTGGTCATGAGATTGACAAATTAGCTCTCTTGTCTATAATACGTACACAGTTGCAAGGAGCTAAGTGGTTTCGTTCGGTGAGGTTTGCTGGTGCGATAAAATTCTGGTTGTTTAACCGTATTAGATGAAAACTGTTAATAAACGATTTTTCTCACTGTTAAGGCCTGGTTTCTTAGGACAGGACGCCGTCAGCTGGAAATCAGCGCTAACCTCTGATTGGTTCGTTTGTGAGTTTGATAGTATACGTTATCGAACGCTCATCTTGAACTACAATTGCCGTCCAACTCAACTGCAGTTGGATTACAACGTGACGTTAACCANTAAACGTCTAAAAAACGTTTAAGTGTTTGTATTGAATGCATTGAATTTTTTTATATTTCGCGTTTATTTATGCATTGAATTTTCACGCTTTAAAATGCAGAATATTAGTGAAGCAATATTTGATAATTTATTTTGCTAATATGTTTCTTATTTAGCTAATGTTTTGATTTTTTCACCATGTACAATCTAAATAGCTAATATACTTTTTTAAAAGCCAATAAGAACATTGGTAGAATTCTTCTACATAAGTACAATACTATGTCTTTGATGATAAAATACTATGTCTTTGATGATAATATATTATGTCTTTGTGCTAGAACATTGTGTTCATTGGCGAGCGAGCGCAGCGAGCCATGGTTCACGGCGTGAACCACATAGGATTGCGTAGCAATTCTCGGGGGTTGGCGAGTGTTAGCGAGCAGGGGGCGGAGCCTCCTAGTTTAGAGATAAATCGCTAATAATGGTCTCTTCTGATGTTTCTAAGCAGCTGATAAGATTTCACAGACACTTGGGATTTGATAGCAATTTCTACAAGATAAGGTGGTTTTCGGCGTTTCTACAGGTTTTCTAATTCTCAACCTGATCTAAAAATGAAGTTTCGGCATGTGGTGTCTGATCTTAATTTTCAACCAGCAGTTAAAAAAATAATTTCTTGTAACCTAAGAAACTGTGGCATGTTCTCTTTATAATTCTAAAAAATAAAGTATAGAAAATAATATTAACACTTTACGAAAAACGGTTCGACAGCTATAGAGTGAAAATTTAGTCATTTTGTCAATCAAGTCCGATCCTGGCACACACCTTTTGTATGAAACGAAAACAATACACGCTAAAGCTAAACATTTTAACTCATTTTTTGAGCATTAAATGTGCACAATTTAAAGCAAAGAAAAAGAGACTGTTGCGGAATTAATTATCAAAACATGCTAAAACCACCCTTTAATAAAATCCGTATCGCATTTTTAAAAAATTTAATCTCTGTTAGGCATATGCTTTAGAAACTCTGCGAACAAAAAAAAAAAGTTACAGATGCGAATAACATTTTTTAAAAGAATTGAAGGGAAAAAACATTATGGAAAGGGGATATAATAGAATCTGTTGGTTAGAAAAAAGTTATGGAATGCGTGTTTTCATTCAATGTTAGTAATCATCACTCCCTCAATCTTGCAAAGAGACTTAAAAGAGCTTGATATTTTGAAATGAACTTATCAGAAAACAAAAGAAATATTGAAAGTTTCAAAAACTTGTAAAAAATATTGAACTTTTGAATTCAAATTTTGCTAATCAAGCAAATATGTTATTGTTTTATAACTCTTTTGTCAATTAAAAACTGTGACTTCTGTTTAATTAAAATGCCAAATATAAGTTTGTTAAAAATAAGATATAAACGTAGGAATGAGTTTAACTTTTAATAGGTATATTTATGTTTAACTTTGAAACATTTTTATCCTAAGTGTACACTGTTAGAATTTTCCTTCTAGAATTATGAAAAAATAATAGGCAGCAGTCTATCCATCCAATTAAAGTTTACGGTAATGAACATTTTTACCTATACGGCTAATGAACCATTTACAACTAGCATCGTTAAAATACCATGAATACAAAACTATACGTTTTTTTAACCATTTACAACTAGTATGGTTTCGTAAAAAAGAAATTCAACTAGACTTAATTCAGTACCTTTATGGTGCGCTAATGTCTCTGCTTGAAAGTATCGTACAATATAGCCCAGGATCACAAATTGGGAAGTGCAGGACACTGGAAACTCTTCCGGTGTTGAAGGAAATGTAGGAAATATCGTGGTCTCAACAATAGTACTTAAATCCCCGTTCTATTGGTTATGAGACTGACAAATTAGCCCTCTCGGCTTTAATACGTATGCAGTTGCAAGGAGCTAAGTGGCTTCGTTAGGTGAGGTTAGGTGGTGCGATAAAATTCTGGTTGTTTAAACGTATTAGGTGAAAATTAATAAACGAATTTTCTTACGGTTAACAATTTGAATACTACCTTATGTATGGTTATTTGACTGGTTTGTTTGAATATGGTTAAATTGCAATTAAATAAATTGTTATCGAAAAAGAAAAATTTGAGAAATTTCTAACAGTGCAGATATTTCAGGTTATAAAATCAGCTACTCTGAAAATTCTCTAAAGATGAGCGTGATTTTAATACACTGTCATTCTTTGTGAAAATATCCCTTTCAGGTTATATTGTTCTCTAATCTTTATGTTTATTTATCTAGACAAGACGTCTGATTCGCCTCCATCTGCACCTTGCTTTGTGTCACCAATCGGAAACTTGACTGTGAAAGAAGGTGAACCAATCAGGTTCGAGGCGATAGTGTCTGGAAACCCCCTGCCTGATATCAACTGGATAGTCAATGATAAGCCATTATCACAGTCTGATAATACCCTAATGACATTCGACGGAGAGAAAGTAAATTATATGTATTATCTTGTATTCACGCTATCTCATGTATATACGTATATGTATCTAATCGCACAAGATACCAGATGAGATTTATCACAAGATACGATTGTTGAACTTATCTTAAGTTTAAGTTTTTAATATGTTTCATTTCTGTATGAAACTTTATACAATACAAAATATGAATGTTTGAATGTGTGCGAAGGAATACGATTCCTAAATTTATTTTGCTTGTAAATATTTCCGTGATTTATTTTTTCTGTAGAATTTAAAAAAAAAAAAAATTATGACAAATTATTTTTCAGGTATATGTTTTCTGAAACCTACCTCCATTTTTTTAAGTTAATGCGCCGCAATATCTTATTGGTTAAGGCACTGAACTGCCATTGTGGAGAGCTGCGATCCAGGTTGGGCTCAGCTTCAGATCGATGGGTACCAGCTTGCCTTAAAAGGAAAGGTGACGCTGTGCGGTGTACTAAACCGCATTGCCACAATCGTGTTGTTCATCATGAAATTGTGGAGCCTTAACCTCCGAATGATTCCCTGGTTTACAAAAGGCTTATTTTTAAATTAATACAAGTCCTCTCAGAATGAACCAATAATCTTATAACAAATTTTTACTAACTTGGTGTCATAATTTTCACTTTTATTTCTTAAATTCTTCGAGCATATTCGAAGAAAATCGAGAAGCTTCGCATAGGAAACGTTTTTACGGTCAATGCATGCTTAAAACGTTATCTGAAACTCAAATTATTTTCTCCTGTATAGCAGTTATTTGCATTTTTACTCTTGCATGCTTTCAATTTTTCATTAATAAATTTATCAAAATTTTCAATGCGACATATTTAGCTCATGGTATTTTGTGTGGAAAGAGTTTTTTTTAAATTATATGTTTCTTAAAACTTTTAGATGCTTATAACTTTAATTATATGTTTCTTTATTATATTTTGAACTGGCTCATTAAAGCAGGGGAAAAAAAGAAATTAAATTGAAGTAATCGTCTACTTTAATCCAATTTTAATTAAGCATTTTTTTAAAATTTTATGTTTTTCAGTCTTCACAAGATTTGGTTTTTTCATTTATTAAAAATCCTACACAATTGACGAGTATATTTGCAAATAAGATTTTAACTAATTGTCTACGTTCTTTTTAAAGAGTAGTTTTGCCAGTAAAACTCAATGTTCCGAATCATTGAGATGAGTAGCGCCATAGATTTTCTAGTAGTAATTCCTAATTTCAGTTCTTATGGTAAAAAATAAATAAATAAATTATATCAATAATAAATAAGTAAAGAAATGTGAAATAGATGATTCCAAGAAACTAAAATTGAAATATATACTTGATTAAAAACTTCACTGGCTTCAAAAAATATAAAGATGGCAATAAAAGTGGACGTGTTTCAAACGCTCAAAAATTGGTGCTCGATCTCAAGACTTGTCTAACGTGAATGAATAAAACAAATATGATTTGAAACGTAAAACCTAAAGTTGCCTGCAAAAAAGGAGAAGTAAAGATTGAAAAACAAAATAATAAGAACTTAAATAGTCGAGAGTAAAATTGAAAAATAAAGATGAAAAAACAAAACTAGAAAAAACTCAAGTTACGAGAGACGCAGATCTAGGAAAAATACATTTTCACACTCTGTGGAGAGGTGGTGAGCAGCTCATGTCGTTAACATGGGAATTGGCGTGAGAAGGGAATTGGCATATGAATGAAAAATGATTCCAGGTAATCAAAATGAGCTGATATGACAGGTGTGGAAATAATTTAAGCATTATCAAAATTAAATTCATGTCCTAGATTTTGACAATGTGCAGCAATTGACGATTTATTGCTTTCTTGATAGTGGGCATATTTGAGCAATTCTACAAATAAACGTCAATTAGGCGGCCAAAAAAAATTATTTTTTTCGGGGGGGGGGCACACTATTTCTACATGAATTTTCTTCTTTTTTACACCCAAAAAAGGCAAGAGAAAATCGCGAACATGACATTTTTTTCTTTGTGACATACTTTAAATGTGACATACTCTTTCTGACATACTCAGATAAATATGAGCCATTTATTCAGATAAAACGATTTTTACAAAAATATAACATTATTATAATGTCTATCTAAAATGTATTTATAGAGATTTCATACTATAAGATTATATTTTAGTATAAAAAACAAAAATAAAAAAATTTAATCGAAGTTCGTAGATTGAAAAAATCGGGAAAAATTTAAAATTAGTATTTTGTCATTTAAAGTATGTCACAAAGAAAAAATTTCATGTTGAATTTTTTTTCTTGCTTTTTTAGGGTAAGTGGTACGTAGTGGTAGGGTGTAAAAAAGAAAAAATTTCATGTTGAAATAGCGTGCCCCCCCCCCCAAAAAAAAATAATTTTTTTTTGTTTGGCCGCCTAATTTGTGTTTTATACTAAAATATAATCTTATAGTATGAAATCTCTATAAATACATTTTAGATAGACATTATAATAATGTTATATTTTTGTAAAAATCGTTTTATCTGAATAAATGGCTCATATTTATCTGAGTATGTCAGAAAGAGTATGTCACATTTAAAGTATGTCACAAAGAAAAAAATGTCATGTTCGCGATTTTTTCTTGCCTTTTTTGGATGTAAAAAAGAAGAAAAGTTATGTAGAAATAGTGTGCCCCCCGAAAAAAAAATTTGGCCGCCTAATTGGCGTTTATTTGTAGAATTGCTCATTTATCGTGGTCCTTTAATCTAATTTTTAAAGCACAAGGGTTTGTCTGATGTAACCAAGGTCACACTGGCTAGGTGTGTGGTAAATGCCCCTGCAATTTCCAATACTGATAGGATGTTTAAGGGAATTTAATTTTTTAAACAGACCTGAAAATAACTTTAAAACCAGACAGGGGTAGGATGCCAGCAGTTTTGCTGCTAACGGGGAGAAAAATAGTTTTGTAACTAATTCTCTTTAAGATTAGGATGAAGAGGGGTGTTAGGATCTAGTGAATTTAGCAAGAGCTGAATCAATTATAGAAGGGTTAAGTCCACGGTTGTGGGTTTAGCGATCGACAGAAAGTGTGGCGTAAGCGAGTGAAGGAAATTAAGTTTGGAATTTAAAGAAGAAGAGTTTCTTTCGAGTGTTTAAAACATGTTTTTTATTACCATCGTTATATTTTCAAACTCAATGAAGCTTTTAATCAAGTGAAGGAATGGACAATAGTTGGTAAAAGAGCCTTATTTATTTTATGCAATGAAACAGTCTTCAAAAAACAGCAATGTAAACAAGTGCAATATTGTAGTGTAAAATTACTCATTATTGCTAAACATGTAGTAGCGTTATACATACTTTTATGCATAAGGAATTAATAAAAACGACGATTAAATTCTTTTTAATGGAAATATTTCCTCATTGAATGTTTTAGTAATCTAAATACGAAATGCAATTTCAAATTAAAAGGGATAAATTACTTTACTTTTCAGGCTATCTTAGAAATAAAAGAATCCTCCCCAGACCATGTTGGTACTTACCAATGCAAACTGACGAATCCACTGGGTGAGGCAAGCAGTGATGGATCTGTTTCAGTTCAAGAGAAAACAGCCCCCCGATTCATACAACGATTGAGTGATTACAATGTAAGTCAATGTACTCACACAAACAAAATGATCACAGAAGCACCAAAAAACACAGAATATTTGTGCTAAAATGACTAACTTACTTGATATATTGCTTAAAGTTGTCGAAATAGAAATATTTAATAAATTCTAGATGAGTTAAGATGAAGATTAGCATACTAACAATGTTCATCCCGATATTATTTATACTTGTGTACAGTGAATGACTTCTTATTTAATGATCAGATTTTTAAGTAAAATGATGCAACTGTAATTGTTCGAGTGGTATGCCTTAAGTATGCTACATACACGCGATATTTTAAGTTACGAAATATGACACAAAAATGCATTTTCCATGAATTAACATATCTTTTTATCGCAATAAAAAGATCTTGTCTTTAAATAGCATATTTTGCTACTTGAAGTACGATAATTAAACCCAAATAACCCAAACCTTAAACAAAAAAATATCCTAAGTCGATATTTTAACTATTTGCGCTAAAATGTTCAGAAAAATGTTCAAATTCTTAATGTAATAATTTATAATCTAGCATTTTCTAAATTCACAAGAACTGTTGTTTCATGCGTTTGTGACATTTAAAATAGTTAGATCATTTTTGCAATCTTATAATTTTATATTTCCTAAGAATTTATTAGTCAAGCATCACAACAAACTATCCAGATAAATTACGTCGGCTCAGGAAAACACTTTTCAAAAGAAATTCTCAAGTAACTGCACAGTAAAGCGTGCTAAATCGCAACATCATTCATATTTTTTGCGGCCTAATTTCAGCTCCAAATTTAATCATATCATAGCGCAAATTGAATTTTTATAAATGTGATTACCCAGTCGTAGTGGCTCAGGAAATAGAGCATTCGTTTACCAATGAGGTGCCCAGGTTCGAATCCAAACTGTGGCTGGTAGATACGAACTCTGCTTTCGGCTAGCATAGACCACAGTGCTGACTTAAAATATCCTCACTGGTAGACGGATCATGTGTTAGAATCCCCTTGCTGTCGAGATAACCAACGAGAAGTTTCCATGATTTATCTCGCCCTGTAACGCAAATGCGAGTTAGTTTTACCAAAAAGTTCTCTACGAAGGGTAGTTTCTCCCAATGCTTGATCCAGGAGTTCCCTTATCTTCTGGATTGGGTTCAAAATAACAGGACCGTGGAGTTGAACATTAATGTTGTTTACTCAGAACTAGGTCTGCTGTTCAACGCCTGTTATAAAATAAAATAAAAACTCGATTAACCGAATCTGGGGTTCAACTTAAAAATTAAAATGATATAATTTAGCCCTTTATTAACGTTTTAGTAAATTTGCATGTTATTATGCTTTAAGTACCCCTCATTATGATGCTGAGCAATTTTCCTGGAAAGGTATACAAGAGAGGAAAAATATGCAAGCATTTCCTAATAATCCAGTGGCGATGAAACAAGAATTCAGGATTGACAAAGTTTGGTTACAAATCCTTCGCTGATAACACTCAAGGCATTTTAAATAGAAATTTTCATAATTAACGTCTAATTTATGTCTAACATTTAAAAAAAAAAGGATTATTTTTTATTACAAACGAAATCAATGTTTATTCTTGATGCATTTCGTTCTTTCTCTGATGTAATGGTGATTTACTTCCAGGGTTTCATTAACCAGCCATTGAAACTCAGCTGCAAAGTGATTGGATATCCAGAACCCGAGATTGAATGGTACTTCAACGGCGAATTAATTTCACCGAGAGATTCGAGATATACGTTCACAAACTTTGGTGATGTGCATGCTTTGAACATCCAGTCCTGTCGCCCAACTGATTCTGGTGTGTTTGAATGTAAGGCTAAGAACTCAGTAGGCGAAGACCACACAAGATCTGCCGTCAATATTAGGTAAAAAAGCCTTAAATGGTCATTTTGAAAAATGCGTGTTGAAGTTTTGATTGAGAAATAGGTCCTATTTTAATGCGTTCAATTTTTCTGATTGTTGTTTTGCTGAAATAAATCCGCGAAATATTACTGTTACATACTTCGGCTTTTTCGATGGTATTCTTGATTTTGATATTTAAGTACATTTCAAACATTAAATTTATTGAAAATATAAAAGTTAACTAATTGGTAAATCAGCTTTGTGCGTAGCTGCTATGTTAGTAAGATTAACTCTAAAAGCTACTATTATTTTAAATTAGAGACTCGAAGCTATTTATCTAATCAATCGATTATGTTAGCAAAAGGATCAATGCGGGAAAAGTCAATTCTTTGTATTTTATCAGTCAAAAGCGACACTCCTTGCAAGACTTTTGGGAACCGAAACGAAAATAATAATATCAACTTTAGTATCAACTTTTTTTAATTGGATAATTTGAAAATTAATTAATTTGATATCTGCAAGCGACGTCAATTGTGGGTCAGCCAATCAGGTTCGACACACAACCGTGACGTCTCTTGCAGGTATCCAATTAAATCTGGTTCGAAAATTGATTTTTCATTTTTTATTAAACTCCACAAAACTACAATTACACACTTTTATAACATTAACATTTTATAATTAAAAAATATATTTTATAAGTCTCGAATTTTAGAAAAGATTGTAAATGATTTGATTTCTTTTGTTTCTTCAATGATTTTAACGATGCAACGTAATGGAATTTTTATCTCATTTAAACGCAATTACTCTTGTCTTGTTTTCTTCAACTTTATTTATTTTTCATTTCTTTGTTTCCTTTTCGGCACCCGTAGTTTTTCTAATTTTGTTTTTCACGCTTATTTTCCATTTTGTCGACATTTTTACGTTTCCTATTCAAAATCACTTTCGTTTTTCTCGCTCTCTGCTCGTATGTCTTGAGAATGGGCGCCAATTTTTGAGCACTCGAAACATGTCTACTTTTATTAACATCTTTACATTTTTTTGATGTAAGGGAATTTTATTCCTCATGAAGTATACCTTTCATCTTCAGATTCTTGGGCTCATTCATTTAATGACTCTTGTCGTTGTAATTCTATTTCTGTACTACAAATAATAATAATAAATCAATAAATAATAAAAGTTATCAACATTTCTGTCTTAAAAGTTTTCTTTTTTGATCTATTAATTTATTTTTAGTGAAAAACCCGAAAAAGGTGAACCTCCAATGTTCTTGAAAAGAATTGGCGACAATGAAGTAATGGAAGGAATGACAGCCAAATTCACCGCTTGTATTACCGGAACTCCTACACCTGATGTTAGCTGGTAAGTTTCTTTCCAATTTTATTTGGGGAAACCAAATTGAATTAAAGATTTCATTTTTCTAACCAAAAAATCTGATTACCATATTCATATGAATCTCGTTAAAAATTAGCATTCTATTTTTAAAATAAAGAAATTCTGTTTTCTCCGTTTAAAAAGAAAAGTTTAATTTAAATATTGTGAGAAATATATAATAAATTTGGCATTTAATACATACTTTTGTGGATGAAATTTTGGGAAAAATACGTTTTTTGCATTCTTAGGGAAATATATATGTATAAAAAGCAAGAAAAAACAGTCCAATGTACTAGATGGTCCTGTAAATTGTACGATGATGCATTGTACCTGGGAGCATTGGATGTTCCTCCTTGGAAAACACACACTTGTCGGTTGATTAAATTGGAATATCCATGCAATAGAAAGTTAGTTTTCTTGTCAGAGCTAAAATAATTGAAGAAAAGTCAATGAATTTTATAATTGAATACTTCAAAAATGTGCAGCTTTACTAAAACTATAAAAAAAATTTACGCATTGTGAGTAGCAGAGTCACAAAAAAATATATTTATGCTAACTAGGACGGTTGCACATAATTCGGAACTATTCAAAGGGTGATACCGTCTGTCTAAAGGTAAAACATTAAACTTTTTCGATTTTGTTAAGCATAACAAAAATAGTTCCGTTTTTTAATTGGTATGTTATCTTTAACAGAATGACATTTTTTTACTTATCTAGTTTAATTCTGTTTCCAAATTTTTTATGAGATTTTATCTTCAAATCAAATTGATTCAAAAAGCTACTCTTTGATTAGCTTGATTCTTTGATTTGAAAAACTTTTAGCACACGCCTGTAAAATCAGAAACAGATCACAACACAGTAGCAGCAGATTGCACCTTTTGTTGCATATATCAACCACGTATACCAAAATCAGCTGGGGTGTATATATTCACGTTGGTCTAAGGAACACGTGATCCAAAGTACAATGCTAGTACCAACGTTCGAGTTTAATGGAATGTTTGTTTACAAAAAAATTTCAGTAACTATCTTTTTTTAAATAGATGAAAATACATTTTGTAGCTTTCTATATTAAGACAGCTTTCAATTAAAATAGTTATTTTTATTAACAGTTCTTTTTTACTTAGCTTATGTTGCATTTCTTGCGTTGCATTTATTTGCTTATCTTATGTTGCATTTATTTGATAGGGTGAAAGAAGGCAAGCCACTGGATCCGTCTCCAAGGCATAAAATGGAATTAGAATCCACTGGAATTTTGCGTCTCATCGTCAGAGAAGTAGAGTCTGGTGACTATGGTGACTATAGCGTCACTATCTCTAACATCCATGGTAGCGCTACAAGCAGCGCCAAGCTCTGCCCAGACAGTAAGGATGCATTAGAATTTATAACTCCTAAAACTTTACTGACTGTTGTTTTAGGAGCCATGTTGGCTATAGCATTTCTTATAGCCGCCATGATGCCCCCTGAATTTTATTGCTCATCTGACACTACCTTGGGCGATATTAAGGACTTTTTGTACAGCTGTAAAGCTGATTGTAAATGTCGGGAAGAATAGTTTTTTTTTCATTTCCAGTTAATATAGGGAACAAAATTTTTGAGCAAATATTCTTTTTTTTCTGTGGAACTACCAGAATTGCAAATTGTTTTTCGAATATTTTAACTTCTTGCTATTTCTTGGTAGAGCATAGGTGGCATTTACTCAGAATTTTTTAATATTTTCAACCAACAATAAAGATTTTATTTACAATTCTGAGTCAAATATAGGGCAAAAATATAAGGTACTGCCGTTCTATACTGACCAGTGGCCAGTTGTAGCATTTTTAACCATGGCGACTTTTACAAAAACTAAAAATTCTAACCGATTTGAAAAACTTGATATTAATATTAATAAACGTGATATGATATTAATTAGCCTGATAATACAAGTAATATATAAACTTGAAAACAAGGTTAATTTCTAAATGTTTCCATGTTTATTAAAAAGATATTATAAATGGAAATTAGGTGCCTTTTCTTTGAGAAAAGTGGCGACTGGCAGATAATTTTCTAATCGCTATTTGTTACATTTAGTCTCCCAGTGGCGATTTTGACTTTTTCCCCCTATAAAGTTAAAACTAAATAATAAATGAAACGGGTTTTTTTTTAATTATTAAATAGTAACATAATTGGGTAATATTTAATTCCTAACTGAAATGAAAATTTTAACTAAGTTAAATAAAGTACACATTCACGTAAAAAAATAGGCAAAATCTTAAACTTAAATAAATATTTTACTAGACAAATAAATTTATCAAAATAGGAAACGTTAACTATTTTGAATCCTTATATTAAAAAAACTATTACAGTTGAAAACAAAAGGTAGAACAATTATGATTGAAAACGATGGATAACTTATTTTAAGTTCGTGTTTCTTTGAATTTAATTTCATCAAGGGAAAATGAACATTCAAACCTACGAAAAAGAAAACGAAAACAGCGAAAACGAACGAACGATCGAAACGAAAACGAACGAAAAATTAAGAGGCCTCTTGGAAAGCCACCAGCTGCCTAATAAGCTGTAAACATAAAATGCTATGTATTAAAAGTTAGCACACAAATTTAAAAAAATATTTACCCTAAATAAATTTTATTCCGGAATGGAAAAGAAATTGTCGAGTAACTTCGATGAAATAATATCTAACTTCTCAAATATTCTTGATTTGACAATCCCTTCATTTTCCTTCTAGCTATAATTTTTTTCCATTCAGATAATTGTGTTAAAACTAATTATACAATGTTTTCAACAACTAGAATATTTTAACTGTACGTTCTTATGAACGATAAGGGTTCCAATGACTCTTATAGAGTAGAGGTAAATTTAATCGCTTTATATGGGTGTCTATGTCTACTTACAACTCGTGATTAAATATTGCAACTCTTTTGGTTCCACTTGTAAAATATGTAAATTATTTTATTAGTTGTTTGTAGAGCAGATCGTAGATACAATTATTCTGCTTTGTATTTTCTAGTCAAGCATTGTTAAAAACAATTGTTCTTAGTTTTAGTCGTAGTTGAAAATATTCGTTATATTCATGGAAAATATTCGTTTACATAGTTTCATTTGTACATAAGATCTCTAAATGTTGAATGTGTCAAAGTCCTTGTCCTGCAGCTTTGCTGATATAGATTTCATTTTGAACGAGTATTTTTTTTTCTTACTCTAGTTCACTTTTACAATTTGCTGGTTTGATTTAATTTCCTTTATTTAAGTGTCAATAACAAATATTCCTTGCATTAATTTAATTTCTCTACCCATTTATGTGATTTACCTACTGAAATAGAGCTCACCAAAACTAAATGCATGATCCGCTTGCAGATGAAATAGCCAATTAAAAATAACAGCTGTTATATTAATTTGCCTAAATTGAATAGCCATTATGTGTCTTTCTTTAAAATCTCTTAAAAAGGTTTCGCATCAAGATTTACGCCTATTGCCACTCAAAGAAAAATAAAAAAATTTAAAATATCTTCCGCTCACGTTGCCAAAACCTAGTTTCGTACTTGAATGAAATAAAAAATTAGAAAAATCTTTTCTAAAACATTTATGTTGGCAAAAGCTTGTTTTCCCCCCGAGAGGCGCTACTATCTTGAACCTAAGAAACGCAATAATATTATTACATTGTATAAATAGATTAAACTGCTGTATATTTTGTCCAATCCTCTGGTTTTTGCAAGACGTTTTTGTCACTTAAAATATATTCATGTAGGAATTCGGTGCTCAAGAATTTTTCAGCACCAAAATTTGATCGCACAAGATATTCTTTGCACCACAGTTTGATCTCATAAAATATTGTCTGCCCCGAATTTGATCTCACAATATTTCGAACTATTTATACCCATAAAATATAGCAATAGATCTTGCACGCCAAAGATTTTGAAATCACCATATTTTTTCACATCGTAATTTGTTTGCATCAGAGTTAGATCGTGTAAGATTTTGTTCCAATATCTTACCTTCACCAGATTTTGATCTCAAAATATTTTGTCAAATTAAACCATTATGGTATCAGATGTTGCTTATTCAAGTTTTTTTCCCTGTGCCATGATTAAATCACACGATATTTTGTTTGCACCAGTATTTGATCGCACAAAATTTTGCCTGCTTTAGAGTTTTTTCACTCAAGGTTTTGCATCATATTTTGATCATACAGGATGCATCATGTTTTAATCATTAAATATTTTGTTTGCATTAGATTTGATCGAGCAGATTAATTACGCAGATTTTCTCTTGACGAGATTTTTACCAGACAATTTTTTTTATACGCAGTATAGTCTTGATTACACAAAATTTTATTTGCACCAGATTGGGATTAAACATTTGGACTGATGTACAGCAGATTTAAATACCGCTAACTTTGTCAAATAACGACTTTGATTACACATACATTTAAATGGAGCAAGATTTTGTCTGGATTACTTTTTGATCGCTTGAGACTTTTTTTACCAGTGAAATTGTTCTAATTAACTTTTATTCTCTTCAGAATTTGTTCATGAACTATTTGATTCATACAATAAATTTCGTTCGAACATCAGAAATACATAAACTTTTATTTCTAATAGATGTTGTTCACTGTTGGCGTAAATATTGTGGCGTAACCTTTTTATAGTAACGAGGGATGTAAATCATTGTATATAAACTTGTATCTTAATTTTAATTCTCTATCTTTCTGTAAAAATTCTATTCCTTTAATGAATTAAATATTTATTCTTTGATAACAGTGTTGGCTTTTAATTCATAGCTTGTCCAAAGCACTAGAGATAGCAGTGTTGTCATTTAAATGCACTGCTAATAATGATTGCTTTTGGTAATATGAATAAAGATTTCCTTTACCACTAATAACTTCGGATAAAACATTTAGCATTGGTGAGCTCTGTTACGTATTTTTTTTTATTACATAGTCATTTTAATGACAACACTGTTTGATGCTTTATATTTATAATAATGCATACAGTTTACAAACCTAAGACCACCATGAAGAAAAAGATTTTTTCACAAGTTTAAAGAGGGTGATCCGCAATTACCGTCGTCATCATTGGAAGAGGGGGTTGAGAACTGGATATAGCGTCATGAAGTATATTGACAATTAGTTAAAGGAAAAAGTCATGCAATTTTACTTCTCCTGCAGTTAAACACGAGGATTTTGGTATGGAATCAATTGCAAGAATTTCGTTTACGCAATCAAAAAGGGAAAATTTTAATATCTTGATTCGCCAGCTACATGCCTCCATATTTTCTCCAGGGAATTTTTTCGATGAATATTCTTTTCAAGAATGATTTTATCTCTAAAAATTTTTAATAATTTCTTTTAATAGAAAACTGATTATTTATTACATCTGTGCCATCTGTGGTTTGGAATCAATAAGAAACAGCTATTTTAAACTTTGATTCAATACATAAAAGGATTCGTATGAGGCATTTTATACTAAACAGATAAATGTTATAAAAATCTACAATATCTTGGCAATTTATCGAATATTCCGTATTTTACATGCTTTTATCAAGAGCTATTTTTGAATAAATAGGTAGGAACACTGTTTCATAAGGTTTGTGGGATGTTCTTCAAAGCTTTTCTCAGACACTTTTTACAAAAAATAAATAAATAAATAAAATAAAATAAAATAAAATTTGAATTATTCGCATTGGAATGGGAAAAAAGGGAAACGCAATACTCGAATGAATTCACATCCATGTTGGCTTTAATTGAAAAATACGTTCAATCTCACCATTGCACTCATTTTTTACAAAAAATTATAAATTATAAAAAAAAATATTAATTTAAATTGTTGCAAATTTCTTCCTCTCTTCATAGTCTTTTCATTGCATTTATGAATCACAAAATATTTAACTAGTATTACCATAATAATCTAAAAATTGCTATAATCCAGCTGTATTTTCTTGTGCACCATTTATTTATAGAAACACCATAAATATGGCTCAAAAGTTTCGCATATTGTGTTTTTGCTGAATTTGTTTTATTTTGCAAATATAAAATTTTTTTTAATGAAACAAAGCAATTGTGTGCTCAATTTTGCAAGTTAACTCTACAAAACAAGCAATTTTTTCAAACAATGAAGTATGAGAGCCTATAAAAAAACAAATTTTAAAGATTTTCCATTAAGAAATAACTTATTATATTAATATGTTAATTCATCAAAAGAATTAAATATTGATTAAATGAATCTATATTTAGGAAGATTTTTAATAACGCTAATAAATTGAATAATAAAAAGCATAGTTAAACAATCATTTTTTCACGTTATTTTTCAGCTTATTATAAATTGATTATTTTTGTCTCCTTTAAACAACATTAATGAAAAGTTAACAT